TTCTTTCTTTCTTTCTTTCTTTCTTTCTTTCTTTCTTTCTTTCTATCATGTATTGGTTTATCTCTTCTCTGCCCCTGCCCTGTGTATTTCAAGTGAAATACATTTGCAGAGGTCAACCCTAAACATGTTGGTGTGCATATCACTAACCAGAATTTACCATCCGCTTGTGACGCTGCAATAAAACGTACACACAGTGAGGATGTACAGATCGTAAATGTGCCATCTGAAGAGTTTTGACAAATGCTCACAGCTGTATGAACCCAGTCATTATCATGGTGCAGAGCAGCGTGGCCAGCTCCCATCATCCCTTTGGGGTTACGTTCCTGCCCCGCCCCCTGAAGGCACCTGCTGTTCTTGTAACTTATCCCACTGCTGACAGCAGTCTGGTCCTTGTGGTTAGTCCGAGGCATTTCTAAGCTTCTCAGACACGTTCCGTTCCGAGGGAGATCCATCTGCTCAGGTTACATTTTATTCACTGCTCACTCACAGGGTGATTTCACTGCTATAGTTGGAGTCATCTCTTGCTGGCTCTTGCCTCCTGACTCCAACATACATGTCTTTTGTTTGTGTTTGTGTGCTGCTGGGAACTTGCCATGTCAGCTAGTCTGGCTAGCCAGTGGACTCCTGAGGTTTGCTTGTTTCTGACAACCCCCTCGGTGCAGGCGCACATAACCATGCCCAGATTTCTACGTGGGTGCTGGGGACTTGAACTCAGGTCCTCATGCTTTCAGGAAAAAGCTCTTACCCAGTAAGCTATCTCTGCAGCCCCTCCAACATGTACTTCTAATCCTCATGTTTTTCTCCTTTTTTTCTTTTGACTATCACCAGCAAGGAGAATGGACACTAACTGGTGTTTCTCTTTGTGCTCTTGGGAACAGTGGAGGCTGCTGTCAAGTGAGCATCTGTCAGGAGCCACACTAAAGCACTACAAAGTGATGCTCTCATTTTACAGTCCAGGAAACTGAGACTCAGAGAGCTTGAGCAACTTGCCCAAGGTCACACAGCTGCGGTGGCCGAGGCTTTTGATGTCCACCTCTCCCTGTCTTCTGATTTGGGGTTGGGAGTTCCATTTGGGTGGCTTTCCCCTACGGAGGACCCCTTGTCACGTGCTTCTTCTCACTGGCTCTTTCCCACAGCCGTGGTGAAGAATCCACCCAACAACCTGTGGATCATCGCCGCAGTGCTGGCGCCCATCGCCGTGGTCACCGTCATCATCATCATCATCACTGCTGTGCTCTGTAGGAAGAACAAGAGTGACTTCAAGCCGGAAACCATGATAAACCTGCCTCAGAGAGCAAAGGTACACGTGGGCACGGGGAGGGCCAGGAGTCTGCCTAGAGGCTCCACCTGCCTTTCTCCTGGGCTTCTAAGGTCATCACGTACCTTCAGAAACATAGCACACACCCTCATTCCGAACGGAGACCCTTTCTGTCATAATCAGCGGGTGACACATGCTTCTCTGCTGCCCACTCTCTCCCACAAACACTTTCAAGTAGTTGACACACGGGGCATCTCTCATCATCACCATATCCTCTCAGGGAATGGCCATTATTTTACAGACAGAGAAACTGAGGCACCGACAACCAGCAGCAAGAAAGACGTGAAAAGACCTTAGATACCTTTAATAATTGGGCCCCCCCTCCTTGGACAGCAGAAAGCAACTCCTTCCACTCCCTCCTGGTTACATGGGTAGTTAGCAGCGGAACTGATGGTGAGACTAAGTAAGCCCGCAGCTGTCTGAACATCCCAGCCTCCGATGGGAAGGTTATCTTGGGAAGATGTCAGGGCCAAGAAGGTGGGGCTCCCAGGAGTGAGATTAGTGCCCTTTTGAAATAAGCTGCAGGGGACGCTGGCCTCCTCCACCACATGCACACACAAGAAGTGGGCGGTGCCCAGCCCCGCAGTGAGCCCTCACTGAAGCCCAGCGTACTGGCACCCTAACCTCAGCCTTCCAGCCTCAGAACTATACCTGCCTTTTCTAAGCCCCTTGACGAATGGTATTTGTTGTAGTGGCCCAGGCTGACCAAGACAAGGTCTCTTGGCTCCTACATGAAACCTCTTTGGGCACACAGACGTCTAGAAGTTTCCCTGTCCCACTGATGACTCTGCTCTGCCGCTGTCGTGATGGACCAGCTATCGGTTAGGCTGGAAACTACCAGATACCAATTCAGTAGCTCCAAGAGCACCTGGCCTAGAGCCCTGTCCTTCCTCTGTCTCCTGGATGTCTCTCCCCCAACCACCTCTGGTGACCAGGAGGGTGGTGGACTGAAGATGGAAGGCATTCTGAAGCTAATTTTCCAGTCACGTAGCTGCCTTTGTGATAGTCCCTGTGGTAAATGTCCAATCTGTAACACCCGGTGTTTAAATAACGCCTTACACTCTGCTGCCTCTTCTAGGTCCGTCACCTCATTTGTTCTCCACAGCTGTCCTGGGAGGTAGGTCACAGTTAGGGCAGGTTTCATTATTCTCACTTAACTGCCAAGAAATCTGGGAGAGAGACATAGGGACTTGTCCAGTCATACCACAAACAGAGGGGAGACTAAGGCCTGCATCTATGTGCATGGGTATGTGTGTGTGTGTGTGTGTGTGTGTGTGTGTGTGTGTGTGTGTGTGTGTG